TTTTTTTTTTGATGTCACAGACTATCCACATTCAAGAAAGCAATAAAAAAAGTAAGATTCCCCCCAACAAATGTAGTAGTAAATAATAAATTTGACACACGTAATTAGAAGTTTGGGTTTAATTTACTAATAGTAGCCTGTAATGCTGGTTACAAGTTTCAAAGACGAGCCTCATGTACTGGTTACACACACATTGATGAAAATAGAAAATCTAAGCTTAACAGATACTATGCTTGTATCATGTGGATTTGGACACATATCTAGATTCAGCATAGAAATCCACAAGTTATGTTTCATTAATCCAGTGAATCTGGCATTTGATAAGGCCATCAAGAGTTTACGACTCTATATATGCCAGATTTCTGCATTTGAATTAATACTAAGTAGCACTTAAACAATGGCTTCAAAATATGTGCTCTTTTTGTCCTTTTTTCTTCTAAATACCAACAGTGTATGGCTCCCTCTCTCTTTATCCCCCTTTTCCTCAAAATATGACATTCTAGATTGTGTACATGTGCTGGAACTAAACATGATTCTTTACTTCAGTTCTATGTATAAACATCGTTTGTTTTTGTAGGTTCCATCAGTGTTGGGCAAGGAGGTCCTATACGAGGTTATATTTCTTTCCGTGCTTTGTATTACAGCGTTCTAGCAAAACATGAATCTTTTCCTTGATTAGGTTCTTGAATGTCTATCCAAATAGAGCTATGAGGTCTTTTATTTCTCATGACACGTACTTGCAAACACAGGCCGCAGCTGTAACTGTACCATTACCAAGTCCAGTTTATAAGAAACCAACCCCTGCTCAGCCACTAAAGGCTCCACCACCACCACCTCCTCCACCAACCAGGGCATCACCACAGCCGCCTCCACCGGTCAAACCACCAAGAAATAGACAAGGTAAATTTTCACCCCTATGTTATGTTAATTACATCAGATGTAATTTTTTAACTTGATGTGTTTGCTTAATATATTGGCAAGAGTGCATTCCCCTGTGCCTAGTTCGATGCAAGCTGCATTCCCGGAAGAAATATTGCCTTCGAGCATGCATGACATGCTGCGAACGGTGCAAATGTGTACCTCCAGGACAATATGGCAACAAAGAGAAATGTGGCAAATGTTACTCTGATATGACTACTCGTGGTGGCAAGCTCAAGTGTCCCTGAACGAGGATGATATTTCTTAGTGCTTATTCCTACGAATAGATTTTACTTACGTGAACAAAACGTGTAACTTCGAACACTAGAAAATAAATAAATAAATAGCTAGTGATGGAAATTAGTATTGAAGTGCAGTAATTACAAGTTTAGTCATCAAATGAAACGATCCATGGTGGATTGAAATACGTTTAATAAGACGATCTGGATCTTGATTCTTGCACCCTAATAAATCATATATTGGCTGCTAACTTTTATCTGTCGACAATATTGGCACAAGATCGTCTTAGCAAAGACTAGAAAATAAAGATAATAGTATCTTCTCAGAGGTGTTAAAATGTGTTGGACTGTTCTAGATCGAAGCAAATCTACATATGAAAATCCTGACTCAAATTTGGTCCGGCCGAGATTGGACCATGCCTTATGTCGGGCTTGACGACATGGGCTCGTGGTCAGTGCTGGGCTGGCCCTTGGCACAAGATCGTCTTAGCAAAGACTAGAAAATAAAGATAATAGTATCTTCTCAGAGGTGTTAAAATGTGTTGGACTGTTCTAGATCGAAGCAAATCTACATATGAAAATCCTGACTCAAATTTGGTCCGGCCGAGATTGGACCATGCCTTATGTCGGGCTTGACGACATGGGCTCGTGGTCAGTGCTGGGCTGGCCCTTTTTTTTTTTTGGAAAATAAAACAAGCAATGCAAAATACTTCTTTGGAAATACATACGAAGTTGCATAAAGCCGTGGCTCTTCAAAAAATATGCATTGTGCCAGGCAAGCACAGCCTAGTTTACACCTCTCGACCTATTACACATTGTACTTACTGTGCCTTCCTCAGACAAGCTCTTTCAAGTCTGTCTTTGAGCTAAGCCTTCCTGCTTTTCTTTCTTCCCTGCCATCATTTTTAACCATCTTTACCAGAAGCAATTGAACTCAAAGGCAACCTCTAATGTGAGACATATTGTTTTGTGTCTATGTAGCGATTGGATGACAATAGACAATCATCCATTACTCCTTGAAATGTCGAGCTGCCTCAAATGCAAGTTTTGATTTAGGATTGACCCCGATTACATAGTGATCGTAACCTAAATAAACTACTCACTTCCTGCCATTTGTTGTCATCTTACATCAATTTCTATCATCAAATACAGTGAAACTATCGTGTAAAACAATAAAAAAAAATGAAGGCTCATTGATTTTATCTTTCTGGCACATTCCTATGATATAATGAAGCAATGGTACTAAGGAATTCTACGTATAGACCGAGGAAAGAACTCACTTAGTATCACCTTAATTGCACCAACATTACTTCACTTGTTTGAAAAATGGCTGTCAATAGAATTGCTATATTGGCAATGGTTTGGTTAGCTTTTGCAGCATTGGCAGGAGTGCACAAACATCGGCCCGGCTCCAGACGATCCACGTAAGGATGCTGCACCTACCGGGATGGCTTCATACCACACTGATGTTCGGATTTGTTGTTGCTGTCGTTTCTTTCTTCGCCATGAAAGAGATGATTTGAGCTTTCCTGTTTGGATTATTGTTTAGTCTAATTACAACTTTTATGCGTGTTTCAGTATTTTGCACAATCGACTTCAATGTGGGATGTACTCAGCTTACTTTTTCGTGATTCTTCTGCAAGAAAGTAACACTTGTGTCGTGTTAAGATTAACGCATTCAAGAATCACAAAGCTTGATCTTTTGTCTTAATATTGTCTAGTTCGCTTGGATCAAATCAAAAATAGAAAATTATCAGAAGAGATAATAGAGCAATGGGACCAGCCAGCACATGCTATACATGTCAGCCATGAAAATTATCAAAAGAGATAACAGTTAAAATAGCAAAATAGAACCGTTTTTGTCAAAATATCAGTTTTCTATGTCACGATATCAGCTTAGCAGCAATTTTGGTTCTCCTTACGCAATTAAAATAGCAAGATAGAACCGTTTTGTCACACGTTTTACTTTGTCATTTTCATCGCCAACAATTTCAATCGCCTTTGTAATTTTGTAAGAAGAGAGGCAAACAAATTCAGTTTAGAAAAATAAATTGTTCAGTGGATCACAAAGCAACAAACGGTAACATTTTCTCACCTTAAGTGCCCTGAAAGTCCCAGTTTGATATGGTTCACACTCGATTGAACCGTTCTAATTCGCCACAAGTAAAAATTGTTTGATCTCAAAGTTCTAACAAAAGGATCAAAGTGTAATTCCAATTCAACCCAATATTGAATCTACCAGTTTGCCAGTTACGAGATGAATAATATTGTTCATCGTTAATTATAATTATCATGAAATTTAGATAAGAGTGTTCATGATTTTCAAATTCAGCTCCTGTTTAATTCCCATCTTTGGCCACAAAAATAAAAATATGATCGTTATCCAACACATCAAGTCTTCATATTTGACTTTCTATCTCTTGTGTGAATCCCTTAAAAAATATACTTTTCATTCTCTTTTGTTTCATTCTCAAACGAAACAAAATCCAAAATTTTATTCCCCAAACGAAGCACTCGCATAACTCCACGAGTCTACAAATCCAAACCGTTGGATTATGACCATCTCTCCCACACCCCAATTCCTAAATCCTCTAGATAAATAATTGTTCGTTAAAATCTCGCAAGCATACATGTTCGTTGTACAAGTAATAATCGTGATGAAAGAGTTATCGTCGATGTTTATTGAAGCTTTGTAATCATCTTCCATCAGTATCTTCTGCATGCAAAGTGAAGGGCTGATCCCTTTTATATCGATATCATCCGTCCTATTGCTATCTTATGCTCTCGAAGCACTCTCAACAACTAATTCTCCTCCACGTCTATAAGATTGTTTGAGATAATTACTAGAAGTGAATTCTTTTTCCCCAAGAATGCATAACGAAGATGAGTGGGCAGTTGTTTGAGTTCAAGAGCTGGAGCTTGTTGTATAGATTGTAAAGGTGTTGTGGATCTTTCATCGAGCTCCAGTCATGGTTGCTTAAAGAATGGTGGTATGGTTGCCAAATAACGTACACATTCTTCTGCTTCCTCCTTTTCTGATGGTAAATCCTGCAAATGCACTAAACAAACCTTAAGCGGATCCTGAGGGTAATCTAATTTGAATATCTCTGACACAGCTTTTATTACATCAATCTGCATGCAAGAATCCGATTCGCTTTGAAATCTAAAAGCTCTAAACATGTTGATTGTCAGTTCTTCTTCATTTAACCTCAATATCAACTGACCCTTTTGCACATTTATCAGAGTCCTTCCTGTAGCAAAAAATTGGCGATCCAATATGAGGGGGACGTCTCTATCTTCCTCCATATCCAAAATAATAAAGTCCGCTGGGAAGATAAACTTATCAGCCTTCACCAAAATATCTTCACAAATACCACGAGGGTACTTGATTGACTTGTCAACCAACTGCAGTGAAATTGTTGTCGGTTTTGCTTCCCTCAAACCTAGTTTCTTGAAAAGAGACAAAGGCATTAAATTAATGCTATCTCCTAAATCACACAATGACTTATCTATATACAAATTACCTATGTTACAACGAATAGTAAAACTCACTGGGTCTTTTAGTTTCGATGGTAATTTATGTTGGAGAATTGCTCTACACTCCTCAGTAAGCATGACTGTTTCATTGTCCTCCAGCTTCCTCTTATTTGATATAATATCTTTCATGAACTTGGCGTAGCTAGGCATCTGAGCTAAAGCTTAAGCAAATGGTATGTTAATGTGTAACTTCTTGAACACATCTAAAAATTTCTGGAATTGCTTGTCGAGCTTGTGTTTTTGCAATCTTTGTGGAAATGGGATCGGAGGCACATATGCTTTAACAGGAGTTGCCTTCACTTGTGGACTATCTGATGACTCAACTTGATTTTCCTCTGTAGCTTTATCTGATTCATCAACTTGCTCCTCGCCCGTGGTAGGTACTTTTTCTATGATAGTTGCTAGCCGTTTTACGTGTATTTCTGGTAACTGGACGCCACTACGTGTAGTGATTGCTTTGACCTGCTCTTTAGGATTTATTTCAGTATTGCTATGCAATGTCCCTTGAGCTCTACCTGATAGTGCGGCTGCAATTTGTCCAGCCTGTTGTTCTAAATTCTTGATTGAGGCTTATTGGTTCTGAAAGTTGGTCTCAGTTTTAGTAATGTATTGAACCAGCAAATCTTTCAACGATGGCTCTCTCCCTTGTTGTTGTTGCTGTTGGAACCCTGGTGATTTATTTTGATTGCTTCTTCCCTGTTCTTGTCCCTGATTATTAGACCATGAAAAATTTGGATGGTTCTTCCAACTCGGATTATATGTGTTGGAGAAAGGATTATTTTGTTGTCTTTGAAAGTTCTGCGCGTAACTTACTTCTTCGAATTGATTAAAATGTGTAGATGCCAAAGGACAGCGTGTACTAGCATGATCTGCTCCACAGCCTTCGCAAGCAGGTGGAGATTGGTGTACCATATTGACTGACTTAGATAGATTGTCCATTTTCATTGTAAGAACTTCAATTTGTGCGGTCAGTGCTGTCACTGCATCCACGTTGTGTAACCCTAATGTTTTCCTTGGAGCTTCCCTATCGATTGGCCACATCGATTGATTTTTAGCTATTTTTTCATACAGGTCATATGCCTCATCAACACCAAGTTTCATAACTGATCCTCTCGCTGAAGTATCTATCATATTTCTGAACTCTTGTTTTAGACCGTAGTAGAAAAGATATAGCTCTCAAGATCTTTTTGGTTAAAGGTCTGGATGTCATTCCTAATTTGGTGAACTCGATCATGAATTTTTGAACCATATCCTTCCATGATTGAATGCTCCCTTGTGGTAAATAGATGAATCATTCTCTAGCAACGCCCTTCAAGGTATGAGGAAATAATCGCATTCGAAATGCATCTATTGATATCCTTTCATGACCGGTCACTTCACATAACATGAGAAAAACAGAAATATGCTCATGAGGATTTTTCGTGACTTTTCCAAATAACCTTATATCTTGGTGATTTTGAAATAGATTGATGACATCTGGTTTGAGGTGGAAATTAGGTTGTACGAAGGGAGAATATACCACAGCAGGTTGCATTGGTGCAGGAATTGGATTGATGTAATCTCCAACTAAGACAGGAGTTTCGTTCTGGATAGCTCTCGGTTGATTTGGCTGGGGTGTTGGCTCGTGAACCTGACCTTGATTCTGTGGATGATTTTGGTTATCAGCCATTCTCATTGCTTAACGTTGAACTCTTCTACGATTTCTAAATGTTCTTTTGATTTCGTGGTCTATCGAAAAGAGATTTGGCTGGTTAAGATTTCGCATAAACTAAAGTCGCCTAAAAAGTGGCAAGACACAAAAGAATTAAACGGTGTAATGGTAGCCTAAAAACATCAAACTAAAATAAAAATAAAAATAAAAACGAATCTAAAATATCTAATAACTAAAATTAACATTGTAATTCCCCGGCAACGGCGCCAAAAATTTGTTCGTCAAAATTTCGCAAGCGTACGGGTTTGTTGTACAAGTAATAATGATGATGAGAGAGTTATCGTCCCACAGGGAAGAATGATTATTTTAGTATATTTGATATATTTAAATTCATGTTTGTAACTGGAAGATGATCGAATGAATATCTACCTGATTTTTATAATTAAAACTTGTGAAAATAATGAAAGTTGGTTTAAAAATCAAATGTGTGAACGTATTGGATTTTCGATGCCATTGATCAATTTTTAGTTCTGATTCTCAACCAGTAATAATTATCTCAATTCATGCAATTGCGACGATTGATAATTCAACTATTATTTATTATTATTTTTCAAAATATAATAAACCTATGATTACGACGAAACGATCATATTCCTAATCCGAATTCATATGGCAAACATGTATTGACATTTAGGATTATCACATGTGATTACACACGCTACAAATATTATTTCTAATATTTATTGTCCGTGTGTTCCAATAACAGTGTTCTACTTACCGTGAGTTTTCCCACTCTACAAATAAGCAACTTATTATCCTAATAGTGTGCAAACATTAAAACAATTAAATAGGCATATTAATGGAATCCCAACACAAGAATTAACATAAAAACACGTCTCGAATTAAAAACGAAGAATGAAATAATTTTGTCATCCATATAATACATAAAACAAATTAGCCCAAGATATTATTGGAATCAAACAAATAAAAGTGAAAGGACATCATCGAAATTTGACGCGACGTAATTAATTCCAAAATTATTCTCGAATTTTGCTTCAATTCCAGCTGGACGCCCCTTTCTATATAATTCCCTCTATCATTGAAATCAACCCAAGAGGCCCACTTATACTACAATTTTCTCCAAGTCCTCAATTGTTTTAAAATCATACAATTTAATCCTTGAACCCCGTTAATTATGTAACCAATGCCTTTCTTTAGTTCAAGTCAAGTCCTTGAATTTTCAAAGTGTTGAATTTGATTCCCAAACTCTCCTTCCAATGGCTAATTTTTGCTCTGAATGAATCCATCACTAAAAACAACATAAAATTAAACCAAGTTAATTAAAAATTATTTAATTGACGACATAAAAGTTTAACAAAATGACATAAATAAATGCACAAATTGCACTTATCAATAATCTAATATTTACGTACAGTGGTGACGTGCCACCTCAAACCCCACCCAATAGACACACTGTGTCCAGAACCCATGTCAGAGACAGCGGCGCGTCCTCCTCACACACCGACAAACCCATGTGTACATTTTACCGTACCGCGTCTTCGCAAGCTCAAAATTAATTATTTACAATTTCATC